GTTCAGAGGTTACAAGCACTGACTGTTCTTCCAGAGGTCCTGAATTCAATTCCCAGCAACCACATGGTGGCTCACAACCATCTGTAATAGAATCTGATGCCCTCTTTTGGTATGTCTGAAGACAGCAACAGTGTATTCATATAAATATAATAAATAAATCTTAAAAAAAAAAAAGACAGACAAATGACCAGGAAGTACATGAAGACAGCTTGTCACTGCCCAGGAAATGCATATTAAAAGCAATGAGATCATACTTCATACCAAGATAGGAGGCTCTCCCCAAAAAAGACTAGGGTGAGGAGGATGTCCGAGCTAGTTCCCAGTGGAGGGCTGTACAGTGGTACAACCATTTGGTGTTGGAATCTAGACGCTCTTTAGATGACTAAGCAAATATTTACCATAGCACTCAGAAGGAAGGAAAACAGGTGCATACATACATGTATATAACATTTGTGGAGGCCACAAAACCCAACTGTGCCCTCCTTAGGTGAGCGGTTGGTTACATTCTGATAATACTTCAATCATGATATTTAAAACTAAATTTTAAAAAAAGTAAAAGTGAGAAGCAGAAGACCATGAAGTCAATACATTCTTAGAGTGTTGTTTCTAAAGAACAAATGGAAAAAAATTACAAGAGGAAGCAGTCATTTCTCCCTAGAACTCATAAGCTAGAAACACATATATTGGCTCATCAGGGCATTACAGGTTTGACTCTGCCCCACTGTCTTGCCTAGAACTGAAGTGTCTTGAGAGGAGTCAGGGATGGAAGACTGGGTGGCAAGCACATTCAAACGCTGTGGGTAAGCAACATGACTCATAAACCCGCATAGTGATGTCTGTCACAAAGCAGCTCTTCAAGGGAGTTGTCTTTAACAGAACTCTGCAAAGTTGCTGTCATTCCTGTAACTCTTCCTCTGCACTCAACCTCAAATGGTCTAGTGTGAACTGTTTAATCCTTCAGAGTTGCACACAAATAACTTGACATGGCCTTTGTAACACCACTCCTTAGAAAACTTCAGTCCAGAGAAAGAGACACCCCTGGTGCCTTCCTGCCCTACTCTACTGCTCTATTTCCTCCCTATGGAAACCCTGCACATCTCTGGCCCAAAGTAAAGACCTCTGTGACTCCTTCCTCCCCGTAGGGCCAGTCTCTCCCCTAAATTTGTCTTTCCTCCATCAACAGGTGAGCAGCCAGATCAGTTTAATTCCTGTGACTGGGTGTGGTGGTTTAAATCAGAATGGCCCCCATAAACTCATAGATTTGAATGACTTTTTAGAACTGTTTGAGAAGGATTAGGAGGTGTGCCACTGGGGGCAAGCTTTGAGGTTTTAAAAGCCCATACCACTTTCCAGTATCTGTCTCTCTCTGCCTGATGGTTGTCATCTCATCATGTATGCTCTCAGCTACTGCTCCAGTGCCATGCCTGCCTGCTGTCGTGCTCCCTACTATGACAGTCATGGGAGCTTTAAAGCGGTAAGCAAGCCCCCAATTAAATGCTTTCTTTTATAAGTTGCTTTGGTCATGGTGTCTCCTCACAGCAACAGAAAAGTAACTATGATCCTGTGCAAATGGTAGGCACAGGGTTTCTGTAGAGAAAACCTAACCTAACCTAGGGTGCACCTACCTAAAGCTGTCACATCACCAATGCCCACAGCAGTGCATGGAATACAGTAGGTGCCCAAGAGGGACACTGTAGATATCCATTTACCATACTTGCTGCCATGGTAGCTATTCTCGGTGCTAGAAACTTCTGTTATCAAGGCCAGGATGCTGAGTACTACAAGAAGTTGGTATCTAACTGGCTCTGCCTAAGAACTACTTGCCACATGCTGATTCTGCCCAAAGTGTTTTCTCAGTTCTGCTGGTGGCTATCGTCTTAGGGTTACCATTGCTATGATAAAATACCATGACCAAAGCAAGTTAGGGAGGAATGCGTTTATTCAGCTTACATTTCTACATCACAGTTCATCATCAAAGGAAGTCAGGATAAGAACTCAAACAGGGCAGGAACCCAGAGGCGGGAGCCGATGCAGAGGCCATGAAGGAGTGCTGCTTACTGACCTGCTTCCCATGGCTTGTTCAGTCTACTTTCTTATAAAATCTAGGACCACCAGCACAGGAATGGCACTACCGACAACGGGCCAGGCCCTTCTCCATTAATCACTAATTAAGAAAACGCCCTACAGGCTTGCCTGCAGCCTGGTCTTATGGAGGCATTTTCTCAGTTGAGATTCTCTCCTTTCTAATGACTTTAGCTTGTGTCAAGTTGACATAATACTAGCCAGCAGAGCTGTACACAAAATGCAGAGGTACACAGTATACAGAGCTACTGGGCTGTGGGCAGACACTGCAAACTATTCTCAGCTCTACAGGAACCAAACAAATGCATTTGCATGTGGGCATCAGGGGTGAGGGAGGGAGAGGACTGAAAGCCTTTGCACTAGAAGCTACTTGACTAAAGTCACTCTGGAGTATTAGATCAAAGACTAAGAAGAAGCCAGGGCATGACCTTGGGTATCATTTCTCAAGCAGCATCCATCTTGTTTTTTTGAGACAAAGTCTCTCTCTGGCCTATAGCTAACCATGAACTAGGCAGGCTGATCAACTAGCCCCAGGGATCTGCCTGTCTTTGACCAGAGGCATTTGTGGTTACAAATGTGGTTTTCTCTTTTTTTTTTTTTGTTTTTTTGTTTTTTTCGAGACAGGGTTTCTCTTTATAGTCCGGGCTGTCCTGGAACTCACTCTGTAGACCAGGCTGGCCTTGAACTCAGAAATCCGCCTGCCTCTGCCTCCCAAATGCTGGGATTAAAGGCGTGCACCACCACCGCCGGCACAAATGTGGTTTTCATTTGACCTCTGGGGATTGAATTTGGGTCCTCTCATTGGCACCACAAGAGTTTCATTGGGTAATCTCCCCAGCCCCACCTTTTCTCTTTTGTGTGCTGCTGGAGATTGAACCCAGGGCCTAATGCATACTAAATACCTGCTTTACCACTGAGCCACGCCTACCCTAGTCTTTCTTATGGCAAAAACAAAACAAAAGGAAACAAAACAAAAACCACAAAATTGCCTGCTGGTGGAAAGGTGGAAATGTCTGTAATCCCAGCACTGAGGAGACTAAGATAGGAATATTGAGGTTCAAAACCAGCCTAGGGCTACAAAGGAAGGTCCAAGCCACTGTGGGATATAGGTAGACAGGCCCTATCTCAAAAGAAATGAAACCTAAAGTAAATTCACATTGTTGTGGTGACTGGAAAGACACATCAATATGCATTATGTCTACAGCCTTGTAGCAGCAAGGAAAATTAATATGCTTCATATCTGTAGTCCCAGCTCTGGGAGGAGGCAGCAGGTTCAGGAAAGGTCATTCTGATCTATGCAACAGAATTTGAGGACAGCCTCAAGCATAGAAGACTCTGTCTCAAAAAACTACTAAGAGGTAGTAAATGAAAGTGAAAACCGAGTAGGAGCTGGTCAATGTGCAACGAGAAGAGCAGCACCGTTCTGCTGAGACTGCCTACTCCAAATCTGTTCCATGAACAAGTGTCAACACCAAACCATAAACTTACCTAAAATAGTGAGTGTTGTCTGAAGTAAGTTTATGGTTTAAGTAAGTTTAAGTAAGGAAATCAATCCTTAGATTTTACCAATGAAGACTGGGGAGCCAGATGCTGGCACAAAATGTCTCCTTGTTCGGAGAAGCAGAGAAAACACCCAGCTGACCTTCCTCCTCAGTGGATGTCCCAGAGGCCATGTCCCTTTTCCCACACCTTCATCAAAGACCCCCTCAAACTGCGTGACCTTCTCATCTATTTCCTGTGTCTCTCTGTCCATCTTCCTGACTTCCTCTTACTCTCTATGATGTTTTAGTACTTCTATGTTCACTTCCTGTCATCTGGTTGCTTGCTCTGCCTATTCACCATGGCTGACTTTATTTAATCCTGTTTACAATACTCAAGCTGAAAGCTCTTGGATTAAAGGTGTGTGCTAGGGCTGTTTTTCCAGTAAATAACACAATCTGGGAGCATAGAGAGTGATCAAATATCCTGCAACAATTGAGTGTTCTTTTGCTTTGTTGGTAATATTTTTTGTAAATCAACTGTGCAGGTACCTAGTGAGAACGCTAAAGGTTGTTGCAACGCTCAGCTCCTGGGCAGCACCTGGCACAGCCAGCTTAGCCTACCCAAAGACTTCCACCTCCACGTCAAGGAATGCTTAACTTCCCCTTGCCTTCTCCAAAGGTTTGGGGAAGAAAGTTAGGTAAAACTGAGATAAACTGAGTACCTGGGCTTTTATAGTGCTCCTCCATTTATAGGCTTGGCAGAAATGGAGATATTCTACAGAGACCTGTCCCTTAATCCACTATCAGACTATTCTAACAATGGTAATTCCAAAGAAATGGTCATTTCCCCCAGGAATATCACGCTGGAAGAAAGAAATTGTCCCAGCAGAAAGGGAAACTTGTCTCAGGGACAGAGATTTCACATAGTTGTAACCTGTCAGACCACTTTACAAGAGGACACTGAAGCCTTGACAATGCTGGCCAAGGTTGGTCAGACCACACTTTTGACACGGACTGCTTAGCTATTCTTGGCTCTCAACTTTAGTCTCGCTTCAGGACTCCTAAGTCAGGCTTGGAGTGATTGCCTCAGCATTATATCTTTTTCTGCTTTCCACTTTTAGCCTGGCTCTTTCAGTTTGTTTATGAGAATAGGTGGCCAGATAGGACTTGTGGCACAAGTTGTGATCCATAAATCCCCTCACACTCAGAATACTACAGCTCAAGTCAAGGGAGCACAACGCGTCTCATCTTTGCGCAAGCGCAACGGGAGGGGCGGGACTGTCCTCTGCTGGCCCCGCCTAGGCCCCGCCCCGGCCCCGCCTCGGCAGCAGGCTTCTGCTGCCCAGCCAGCCGGTCATCCGGAAGGGCCACGCCTCAGGCGTCCGCGCGCCAGCTAGGGCACCGCCTCCCTCTGCCCACGCCCTGCCTGGAGCTTACCGCGTCCCCTGCCGCTGGCAGCTCCTCCATCCTCCGCCGTCTCCATCGGCCCGGCGCCAGGCTGTCCATGCGGCTTCGCGTACCGCCTCTCAGGCCACCCGAAGGCGGGAACACCCGACCACGTGTCTGGAGAAGCCAATGAGGAGGCGTGGGGCGTAGCCTGAAATACACTGCGCCTCACAGAGGGGCTGCAGGCAGGAGTAGCCGAAACCCGAGTCTTCTACGGCCCGAGGTGGGAGACTTCTTCCACCCTCCACAGGTCGACGCCTCGCAAGCCGTGACTGCCTTGTCGCGTCTCGGTTCACAAAGTCAGTCCCAAAGGTCGTTTGTTTGGGATTTGCCACGCTTCTGCAACTCTGGGTCCGCGAGAGGCGCGCCCTCCTCTCCTTCCTTGTGATTGGTTACTGAGTCTTGCTAGATGGATCCACGGACCAATCGGTACGCCTGAAGCTACGCTGGGCGTTGTCTTTGGGAGTTCCAATCTTACAGCTATTAGTTTTGCTCTGTGGTACAAGAGGACTCAAATATTCAACTTGGCCTAATGGGCAAAGCCCTGCCCGGTTTTGCTGGCAGGTCACAGGAACACCACCTGGGGTAGGGACAGCCACAGGCGTCGGGGATTGGTGATCTCGGCCTGGCTTTGAGGGAAACTACACACTTGACTTATCCAAAGCTATGCCAGGGTTCCTGCGGCAGCTTGTGCAGCCTCTCCCTCCCTCCAGGGCCCACCGCAAATCTCTGAAGTGTTCTGGGCCAGAGCTCGCAGACCCCCATGCTTTATTGACCAATTAAGATAGAGCCAGTTCTTTGGCAGTGATTGTTTAGCAGTGGGCGTGTGAACTGGTTTGAACCAGTGGGAAGTGGAGAAGGTTACTTGGAGCAGAGATCATAAGATCCCCTTTCCCAGTTCTAGGGCAGTGTTAGCTTCCTGGGACGATGGCACCCTTCACATCACGAGCTGGTGTCAATGCTTGTGGAAGTGAATTTTAACAAGTTCTAAACCACGTGGCAGCTGGCTACACTCCACACTTCTCTTGAGACGCTCTGAGCTTACCACAGGAAACCATTGTGGTGAAGTGCTTGAAGCTGTCCTTAGGTTGCTTGGATCTCCAAGTGGCTATTCTACCTCACTTCCTGTAAGAGATAACTTTGGCTACTGATAGAAGACTAGGAGATATTTACCTATTTTAAAGAACTCCTCAGGCTGGGAGTAGTGGCATATACCTTAATCTCAGAATTTGAGGGGCAGAAGCAAGAGGATCTCTTGAGTTTGAGGCCAGTATGGTCTATGTAAAGAGTTACAGGGCTGCATCTCTACCTCAAAAAAATTAAAAAACAAAAAGTAAAGTACTCTATTTTAAGCCAAGTATTCACTAGATGGATTGTCACGATCTTGTGTCACACACACCCCTTACCTGGTGTTGTAGGACGTTCGGGTCTAAGTGTAAGACTTTCGAGTCTCGGTTTGAACTTAAAATTGAAAGAATCCCACTGTCCCAAGACACATCCCCGGAGGGGCACATTCCTTAGTCAGAGGACACTTGCTGGATTAACATTCAGTGGAGGAAGGGAAAGGTTGATTAACATTTCTCAGACCACGGGGGAGGGGACCCACCTGCGGGTGAGGAAGGTCTAGAGCAGACAGACAAGGAAGGTCCTTGCCACCTCATTCCCCAAAGACCAATCAGTTTAAAAGTCACACTGTTCTGCCAATCATATTGTGCCTAGTCACTGTTTCTCTATTCTACCCCTTAAACTGTATTAAAAACTATTCCTAGCTCCAACTCGGGGGTTCTCTTCTTGCTTACACTCGAGAGAACCCCAGTATGCTGGAATCATTAAACCTCATGTTAATTGTAGCAAGTCCCATCCGTGAGTTTCTGTGGAAACTCGTCCCCTGGTTTTGGATCTTAGAATCCAACAGTGTGCTTTGGATTTATGAATGTATCAAATTTTTTAAAGAGCCTGGGCAGTGTCTCTTGGTGTTGGAGTGCTTGCCTAGTGTATTAATCAGCGTTGTCTAGAGGAATGAAACCAAAGGGATTTTAAAAACAGGAAGGTAGATGGAAGAAGGAGGAGCAGGTCATCAAAGATCATCATAGTGAGGTGGAGGTTAGTCTGGGCTACTAGAAACTGTCTTAAAAACAAACTAGGGCTGGGCTTGTTGGTGTACACCTTTAATCCCAGCATTTGAGATGCAGAGACAGGTAGATCTCCATGAGTTCCGGGCCAGTTTGGTCTGCATAAAGAGTTCTAGCCAATCAGGTTTACATAGAAAGACACTATTTCAAACAAAAGCAAAAAACAAAAACCATGGCCTGGAGAGATGGTTTATTGGTTACAAGCATCTATTGCCCTTGCAGAGTGCATGTGTTCAGTTCCCTGCACTTATGCCACCTGACTCACAATTGCCTATAACTCCAGCTCCTGGGGATCCAACATCTTGGGCTGGCACTCACACACATGCCCCTCAAAAAATTTAGAGCTAAAAATAAATCTTTCTGTAAAAAATAAAAGCAGCAACCGGGCGGTGGTGGTGCACGCCTTTAATCCCAGCACTTGGGAGGCAGAGGCAGGCGGATTTCTGAGTTCGAGGCCAGCCTGGTCTACAAGTGAGTTCCAGGACTGCCAGGGCTATACAGAGAAACCCTGTCTTGAAAAACCAAAATAATAATAATAATAATAATAATAATAATAATAAAATAAATAAATAAATAAATAAAATAAAAGCAGCAATGAGAAAATACCCAATTGATCAAGATCCCTTTCCTGTAGTCTGTAAATGAAAGAAAGGAAGAAAGAAAGAAAGAAAGAAAGAAAGAGAGAGAGAGAGAGAGAGAAAGAGAGAAAGAAAGGAAGGAAGGAAGAAAGGAAGAAAGAAAGAAAGAAAGCCTGACTATGCAGTCCTGGCTAGCCTCAAACTCAGAGTGATACTCTTGCCTCTACCTCACTGAGTATAGAAATTAGTTGTGTACCACTGTGCCAAGCTGTCTGTAAAGCTGACCAGCCTTTATACCCAATATGAGTTGAGTTAGAGTACCTGGATTTTTGTAGTTGGCTGTGCTGAGTACAAATGCCTTCAAGTTCATCAGCACTGTAGCACCTCTCGACATTTTTTCCTTCCCAAGGCAGAGCCACATTCATTCTATGGGTCAATCACACGGTGTATATGCATTCATCTGCACTAGTACCTGGCTTGCTTCCATTTTTTCCGTATTGTGGGAAAGTGGCGCTAGAAACACAGGTGATCTTTGCTTTCAGGTACCTGATGTATGTTTCTAGAAAAAGAATTGCTGGCTAGCAGGTAACTCAACGTGGCCTGCTCTTTGTGCCATAAGCATCCACGTGGCACAGATACTGCTGGAGTATGAAATGAGAAGACCTGGCATACTTGAGCTGGTCTTCATCACTACATCTTAAATGGCTGGGATGCACACTGGTCACCTCATACTTTGTGCTCACTTCTAGCCTAATCTTTGGCTTTGTTCTCTCCCCTCAAACAGGACAGTCATTCCATCCAAGAGTGTTAGATCTGAAGCTGCCCTTCTTCCTAAGCTTGTGCTGAGGAAGGACATGGCTTTCTTCCTATACCATTGTAAATTAAGTTGTTTTTTTTTTTTCTTTTTCCCAGACAGTGTCTCACACTGCAGTTTATGGTAATCTTCCTGCCTCAGCCTCTCAAGTGTTAAACCTCTAGCTGTGAGCCTTCAGTATTGGTTTTCGTTCTAGTTTGCCTTTCAGTTGTTGTAATAAAAAACACCATAACCAAAATCAATTTGGGGAGGAAAGAGTTTATTTCATCTTACAACTCCCTAGGAAGTCAGGGCAAGTTCTCAAGGAAAGAACATGGAAGCAGGGACTGAAGCGGAGACTATGGTGGAATATTGTTTACTGGCTTGTTCTCCATGGCTCCCTCGGCCCGTTTTGTTAAACAACATAGGGTCACCTATCCAGTAGTGGCACTGCTCCGTGGGCTGGGTCCTCTCATATCAACCTTTAATGAGGAAAACATCCCCATACATTTGCCTACAGGCCAATCTGATGGATGAGATTACTCCGCTGAGATTCCCTCTTCCCAGATGACTCTAGCTTGTATCCAGGTGACAAAAAAAACAAACAAACAAACAAACAAACAAACACACACAAAAACCACTGACCAACACAGCATTTAAACTACTTTCACTTCTGGTGAGATTTCATACAGATTCTAAATATACACGTCATTACAGCAAACCTCAGGATAACAAACAGCCTGTGAAGTTTCTGCTTTCCTAAAGACCTTTGTGAGTTTAGCTACTTCCTAAAATATTTTCTGTCTTTGTAAATATGCTAGGGAAAGCAACCCCAAACAGATCCGATTTAACATTTGAGAAAATGCAACACCGATGTAAACTGGAGATGTATAAGAGTGTATAAGATGTGTTAGGTGTGTTCCTGTATCCATTCCACAATATCACAGTAGACACTGACTACACACAGAAGGCAAGCCGTCCATACCTGTCATCTTCACAGGTGCCATCAACACATAAGAATATTAATCAGCCACAAATGTGCCTTCCAAAATCAATTGCTTCATATTTGAGTGGGGCACATTAATTATATCCCATTTTGACCCAACCTTTCCTTTAATCACTGGGTGACATTTGTCAAATGCCGCATGCCCCTGCACTTTCTGGGTTATACTTTGTTTCGGGAATAGATGGGAACCTTAGTACAGGGTTTTATATTTTGTCCTAAATTTTTTCACTTGCAAGGATACGCAGTCACATTAGTTATGTTGGATAATCCATTTTGGGCATACATTTTCATATAAATTATGAGGTATTTTTGCCTTTCGACTCTCTCAACATAGGAAAGGAAAATCTCCAGCATGTGGAAATATGACTGATGCTGTGTTCGCATGTGGGTTGGAAATAATAAGGATTATAAATGACTCACTAGGTATAGAAAATAAGGGGAGAAGACTTATTGAGGAGAAGTAAAGAGCTTGCTCTCTTTATGCACAGCTGAGAGAAGGCACCATGAAAGATATATTGCTATTCACCTTCCTTTTATTTCTAAGGGAGTTTTTATTAACCCCTTTTTATCAATCAAAATAAA